TAATTATATGTTAGCTTTTATGGCAGAGGTAACTTTAAAACATTGAAATTTTTACTCAGATTTGTTTTTCGTGTATTTATATGTGCAGAGTATACAGCTGCGCTTATTTCCTGCACTTGACTGTATATAATAAAACTTCTTGTGAAGTTACAAGATGTACTTTTAAAAAATTTAGTTTGTTTTGAGTAATATCCAAAACAGGCATTACCTTTTCAATGCATTCTGTTGGTTAGCTCCCGAATGCCATGCAGGAGCACAAAAGTGAGCTCTCTATAACGTCTACGTCGTTAGACGGTCACCTACGTTTTTCAGCTGCGGCTACAGTTTAAAACTATCAATCTGCAGTTGAGATTAAACTTGATCTTTGACAATTTTTGGTTCTCAAGTTGTTTTTTCTTCAGTATCGTGCGTTCTTTAAATAGCTCAAAGATGTGCTCTCTATTACTCCTGGTATTTTAGAGCACAACATTAGTTTTATATAAAAATAATAAATTTGTTTTTTGGTAGTTAGATGGAAACTATTGGCATATTCTTTGTTAATATTGCGCTCTTTATACTCCATTAGTTGAATTTAATAAATTACAGTTGTGTTTGTGTATCACTATTTGTTGACAGGAGAAGCTAGGTTTCATGTCTTAATTATTAACTTTACCAGTCATACTTCGCCTTTTAGTCTGTTCAACGGCGAAGCCAAAAGAATCTGCGCAGGAACGCATCCAGAGACTTTAAGGAAGGCAAATAAGGAAGTGAAAGACGGTGATCAGTTTTTCCAAGCAAAAAGCTGGGTTTTTTCACTTTAGCATGGTATAGAAGACCTAAATGCAAATATTCATACTCTCCAATAATCGTACTGGAAACAGTGTTGCTTTTATCTGTTCCTTTGATGCACTCTGAGTTCAAGAAACATGTGCTTAAAGAAGCAAGAGGCAAGCAGTGTTGCAGTAAAGCTCTGTTCTTAATCGGTATTCATTTCGTTGCTTTTACATCTGTTGCCAATCCTCCAAACTTTCTCATCGTAGAAGAAACTAGTTCGTCAGTGTGTGGCAGCCTCCGCTGTATAAGGAGTCCAGAAAGTTTCTAAGAACAAAGTATTTCTCTGAACTCCCTTCCTCAACAAAAAAAAAAAAAGATCGAGGTTGCCGTAAAAAATGTTATCATCGGAATTAGGTAAAATCGTTTTTTTGATGGTTCTTGTTAAACTGTTATCAATGTGTACTATTTGAGTGATGGTTTTCAAAAACGTTAAGGCACTTTACAAATCAGTAGTTTTGCTTACGTTCTTCTTGAAATAAGTTACAGACTTCTTTTAAACTGCAGCTGTTTGATAAAACAGTAAACGAAAAAGATTTCTGTGTTTTAGAGAACTTTTTTTAAGAATTGACCGCAAAAAGTAATGAAATTATAGTTATAAAAAATAAATGTGTTACATCTAGAAATACATCACAATTTAATCGTTTGAATTTGTAGCAGACTGAAAGAAAAAAACACGATAAACGTTTCAATAAATTTCAATAATCTTTGTCGAAATTTGTCTGTTTTTTCTTTCTGAGTATAAAAAAAATTGTTTTTTTTTTTTAGAGAAGTTTTTAAATTTAAATTATGCAAGTGCCGTTCTGAATTTTAGATAACCGGTTTTAAAGTTTACTTAGTTAATGAGGCTGTTTGCTACAAGCTGCAAAATTTCAAGTTTATAGTTGATCATTCAATATCATTCATTCACGTTTAATCGACTGAGACTATTGAACAAGCAGAAGAGATGTGAAAACAATTGAAATACAGAAACTATTCACGGCACTGAAATTTCTAAGAGAACTCAAAGATGACGCATTTCATAGACAATGATAAATCTACCCTTGTACTCAAAGTTTATATTATATTTTGTTGGGAAGGTAATAGTAAGGTAAAGGTGCAAGAGTCGAAAAAAGTATAACACTCAGTTTTATGAATTGTATTTGAGACTCACATAAACAGGGAAATTGAGGAACCAACGTACATCCCCTCTCAGCTGTTCAGAGCTCGACACATTCAAATGCCGAGTTAATCAAAGATAGCAATGTTAAAAAATTAGAGATATTAATATGGTGCGTATTTTTTTTCAACTATTCTCACAGTGTCAAATTGACATTCAAAATTCTCCGTTTTTGTCGGTAAGGTATTTGTGTTAATGCAAGCTTAAATACTGACATTACGATTCAGTATTCAGACTGCCCAGAAAGACAGCAGTTTGAGTGGCACCCAAAAAGATGGTAATTTTTTATTTGAACTCACTTTACTTTTGAGGAAATTTTTTTTAGGTATTTGTAGAAGATGCATTTAAGAATAAAAGGGAATAAATGATAAGACCTTCAATATGCTTCAGTAATTGCTATAACTGGTGTGCTCTAAAAAGAAATTCAGAATTGCCATCGAAACGCTAAATTGAAAAATTGTGAGAAATTTATAATAATATATGGTTTGAAAGTTATTAAAGTTCTTATAAAAACATTGAAAAAAAAGTAAATTCATATTCTTTTACATTTTGATGATCGTTTTTCAAACAGACTCATAAAAGTTGTAAATAAATCGTTCTTTTAATTGACGAAATAACTGTAATTTTCCTAAGAAGTCGACTTTTGTTTCGTACAACGTTCTGGTCCTTGCTTAGGTCTTTCTCGTAGACTATACAGCTATGAAATTTTGTCAGTTTCGCCGCTAAGGTTCCTGGTAAATCTGTTAATACCTTCTGGCACAGTGCGCAACAAATTTTATCATCTTACTGATCTACATCGTTTAACTTTTTATTTCTTGCACTTCTGTTATTTCCCCTCGTTAACTTTTACTCACTTTACTGTTTGTCTCGTTCACCACTCAAGGTTGGATCAGTTTGGTTAACTTAGCACTTGAATTTATGGCTGACCTAAACCTTGAATATTTACGATTTTTTGAAGCACCAAAAATTTTTAACTGAGAGCAGTTTACTCCTTTCTTTTTAGTTAAACTGCAAAAGTGAAGCACAGATTTTATGTGTCTCATGCAAGTGTCTTAGCGATAGTTGTGAAGATATTTGGTATTGCTGTTGTTTTACTGTTGAATCTTTTATTGTAAAAAGCACTAGCAAACTGAAACAATTTGTACTTTTACCCAACAATGTCAGTCTTATATCACTTCACTGCCTGTTTAGCTCAAATTCAAAAGGCTGTACTTGTGCCACTCAGCAAGTATCTATCATTCAATGAAAGCAGATCAGGGACCAAGCGACGGAGCAAAGGAGAAAGAAAAGCAAAAGGAAATGTACTACAACGACAAAGGTTCAGGTTATAGATTAGTGTGTCGGAGGCAGAAGAAACAACAGAACTGTCGGAAGAACTGAAACTTATTATGGACTCATTAAATACTAATGAAAACATATTAACGAAAGAAGTAACAAACTGGAGAAAGTTCTACGGAACTGCTGGTGAAGAGATAGCTGGATTCAGGCAAACGAATACACAGTTACTTTAGAGAAGAGCAAAAATTTTGTCAGAATGAATAAGTTTAGCAGCAAAAAAAAAAAAAAAAAAAAAAAAAA